TACTGGCCTATGCTCTAAATATGAATGCTTTGTTACAGACCCAAACTGTCCATCTCTCTGACGGTTTTGAATAAAGTTTCCCTGTCTAAAAAGAAAGAAAGGAAGAAAGAACAAAAGAGAAAGAAAGAAAGAAAAAAGAAAAGAGCCCATGGGGAGGGCCGGGCCTCACAAGACAGTCAGGCGAGGAACGAGTGGACAAGTGCAGGGCTGGGCCGTCTCAGGGAACTCTCCCAGCCCCACCACCCGCTCACTTTAGAGCTCGGCAGGGTCCCCTGAGCATCAGCTTCTCCATTTGTAAAATAAGGTAGGAGCACGTCCACCATCCTCGTTCTGTGGAAGATCAGATTAGGAGACATCGTGCAAGTTCCTGACACAGAGGAAGTGCCCAGTGTACACTGTTACACCTTGAGTACACGTTAGCCACGTTCATCCTCGCCTACAGCTGGGAGTACACGTATTAGCACCGTCACTTACGGGAGAGGAAACAGGTGCGGGGGGGGAGGGCGGTCCAGCAGCCACTTGAGGGACGATGGTGAGATGGGAAGATGAGGGGGCACCCCTAGGGGTGGGTGTTTGAGCACCCAGCAGGTGCCAGGAGGGCACTCAGGTCCCACCTGCCTGTGTCCTGTCTGCAGGTCTGTGTTCCCATGGTGCATCTCCTTGATGACATCCTCCCTGTCCCTGCTGTCCTGTCCTGGACCTCCTGGCTGGGCTGCCGACCCTCCCCTCTCCCCTGCTGTTTCCACCTCTTCGTCTCTGGCCTCTTCTTAGGGTCCTCCCCTGCAGCCGCCAGCCGGCCACTGCAGTCTGTGCTGGGCTGTGTTCTACGCCTCCACCGGCTCCTTCCTGTGACAGGGATGTCCTTTGTCGGAGCTCGTCTCAGAGAGCCCACCTCTCCAAGGAAGGCACTGGGGTCATCTCGGGCTCCTGTCACTGCGTCCTCGCTCTTCGTGCTGTCCCCACTGACTGCGCAGACACCTCCTCTCACTGCCCAGGGTGTCCGAGGCTGTCCTCCAACACCCGGCAAGTCTTGGTTGTGCCTGCTCACACTTCACCTAGGATGCTGCGTCCTGGCTGGGCTGCCGCTGGGCTTCCTCGGGTTGGCCCTGCCGAGGCTGAGACTCCTGCTGCCCTGACCGCCTGAAGCAGGGCAGAGCCCTGGGATCCTGACCCCAGAGTTGTCCACCAGTCCCAGGCGTGAGGCCAGGCCTGAGCACCTCAACCTTGGAGAGCCAGGAAGGGACACAGGCACAGAAGGCACCGTGCAATGGGTGCTGTCCCCGCCCGGTGGCCTGTCTCCTCCCGCAGGCCGTGGGGATGGCTGTAGATGGGCCGGTGCCCACTACAGAGCTGGGCAGCTGCGGCCCCAGACCAGCACCATCTTTGACAGGCTCAGTGTCTCCTCCAGGGCAGGCGATTGGGGTAGAACTCTGTGCCCCTCCCGGGCACCCCAGGACACACCGGCTGGCCCCGCCCTTGCCCGGGGGGGGGGGGGGGGGAAGG